CAAAATCGTAAGAAATATGAAACTATTGTTGAAGAAATAGGATTACAACTCACTCAGGTAATGTAGCCTTTATTTTTTAAACTTGTAAGCTGCTTGCAGAATGTTATCGAGCCACAGCCATAGTTCATATTTTTCCGTACGAATCAATAACATTTGACGTTCTCTTGTGATTTTTGACTGTTGTTTTCTTTCATATTTATGTCAAATTCGAAAAGTTATACTTTCATTCCATAGTTGTCTTGATTCTTCACGGAATAACCTTTATATTGACGTTAAAATCTCAGTAAAATACTGTTTTTCGCTTCTGGATAAACACCATCGCTACGTTGTCATTTTTTCCACTAAAAACGGGAGAAAAACCGGTCGCTTTTATAATATACTCGTTTACCGCTTTCGTTGTGGGCACAAAGTCTTAAAATACACACAAATATCGTTATAAATCGCAAAAAGCAACAAGAAACAAGCCGTTAAAGTCGACACAATAGCACCTAATTTGGATTGTCAAGCAGTTTTCGCTTGTTTTCCCGCGTTTTGTTCCCGTATCCTAGGATACGAGGCCTCGTCACGATTTATGAATAAGGTCTATGGACCAATTATAACTAAAATTTTGATCTAGACAAAAATTTCATCACAGCTTGAAAAAGCATCACAAAATTAGTAATATTCCGAAGTTTCGTTACGAAATGTTGTAAAATGCGGATAATATAGCCTTGCGAAGTTTGCAATTTTCAGTCATTTTAGATTACAAACGGGAAATTGATACCCAAATCGGGTGTTTGGGTATCAATTTCCCGTTTGTAATCTAAAATGACTGAAAATTGCAAACTTTATTTGGGTATCAATTTCCCGTTTGTAATCTAAAATGACTGAAAATTGCAAACTTCGCAAGGCTATATTATCAGCATTTTACAACATTTCGTAACGAAACTTCGGAATATTACTAATTTTGTGATGCTCTTTCAAGCTGTGATGAATTTTTTGTCTAGACTTGTCTAGATCAAAATTTTAGTTATAAGGTTAAAGGAGTGACCGGAGTCCAGCAAACCATAGGCGGCATTGAGCAAAAATAATACTTGTCACTACCGGTACCTGGTTTGGTTTATAATAGCTTTATTGGCATGACCTTAAATTGCAGGTATTGCTAAAGAATACAGAGTATAAAAGGTAGAAGTACATACGTTACAATAACTATAATATAATATATAATATAACGTTTAAAAACTTGTATTTTAGGTGCTTATTGCCCAAATTTCAAGATGGTGGTTTTTAACCTACTGGTTCTTTTATGCGGGGCTTTACTGTACCAACTAAGAAGATCAATTTACAAGATACAGGAAAAGTTTTCATTTAACTTTCTCAGATAAGAGAAATAGTACTTTAATTAGTTGACGGCAATCCCCCTTTCAAGGCATCTATTTCTTTCCATAAAACGGGAAGAAATATATTTCGACAGGGATAAAATAATCCCGTGTTCTGTAGATTTCATTATATCTACTAATTGAGTCTGTTCTGTGACAATGGTAAACTTGTTTCTAAGCAGTACCGTCGCGAGGAATTCACTCGCCAAAAAATTTTCGGTCAATGTACCATTTTACGGGGTAAAAAAAATTTTCCGGACATTTCAAAATCAGTTTCGAAACATACAAAAAATTTTTGCGGACATATCAAAATTTTTCAAAACATACACATTTTCTCCGTTAATCAAAAAAATTTCTTGGGGAGATACCACAATTTTTTTCTAAAATTCCGAAAATTTCTAGAATATCCTAAATTTTGGTAAAAATACCTGAATATTTTCCAAATGCATAGTTATTTTTGTAAATTAACTTTCTCTTGTCCTAGGAATTACCTGAATTTGCGTTAAGTTACCCGAATTTCTTATGCAAATCTACTTGAATTTACCTGAAAATCTACCTAAAATCTACCTGAAATTGCTCATGAGCAATTATCAGGGGGGTGTTACACCCCCAACCTCCCCCCCCCCCCACGCTCGCTACGGCGCTGTTTCTAAGAATGGTGTAAAAGTTCTCTTTGCATGGTTGATGTAAGCTTCACACGAATTGGAAAAGTGGTGTTCATCTTCCACTTCTTCTCTTGGTATTTTTTGATGGCGACCTAACTGCATGTATCATTAAATTGTGGTTGCCTACTCGAGAAATCTTGTGAGTGTTTTCCTTTCAGCTGGATTTTTTATTGTTAAAAATATTTTTCTAGTTGGTATTCTGTTTTGAATGTATTGTAAAACTTTAGTTTGTTGGAGTTTTCGGTTTGTGTTTCCAAAAAGTAAGATATTTTTGCTTTATGTTGTCATTGATAAAGCTTAGTGTTTAATTTGAATCGTGATTGATTCCAGGTCTGTTATTTGTGTGTTGCAGAATATAGTCCATACTTCATTACTTCCGTAAAACGAGGTAATTCTCTTTGGAGTGTAATTGTGTAAATGTTTTGAGATAAGGAAAGCTTGTTTAGCAATTGTTTCTTCAGGTAGTGAGTTTAGATGAGTAATGTATTTGAATAGTCGCTTATATATATTGATGATCAGTGGAAACTTTCCTAGTTCACGATCTGCAAGCAATATTTGTTGTTTTCCTCCCAACACCCAGGTATAGTTTGCAAAATGTCAACTGTGTTTTTTCAATCTGCCCCAAAATATTCTGAAATTTTACGGCCCAAATGTGGCCTTTATTTCAACACATCAAAATCATCCCGCCTTCCATCCAGTCCCGGCAAACCGAGATCATGTAAACAGCCCTTAAGTGAGAAACGATAAGGAAATTACAGCCTCGATCAGCTTTCAAATGGTAGAAGGCTTTTCAAACAAATTTGTTTTATTTTTTTTCAATTGTTTGAGATCATACCACTTTTCTAACTGCCCCCGCAATACGTACCTTGAATATGCTGCACCAGTTTGGGATGGCCTATGTCTCTACTTAGTAAACCGACCTTGTACGTGTTCAAATAAACAAGAAGTATACGCATTATTGGTTTACCAGTCGACGCACTTCCTTCGCTTAGCGAAAGAAGAGAGCAAGTAACTCTTTGAGAAATAGAGACAATTTTTCGTGACTTTTCGGGAGGAGACCATCAATAGTGTGAAACAGTTTCTTATTGTCTGATCCCGCTTCCTCAATCAAGGAAGAATAATAATTCGCTTTTGCAGTATTAACTAATTCTTTGACCAATAGACACTGATTAATGTAAACCTGTAGATCAACTTGGAGACCAGAACGACGCCAGCATCGTTCGAACTTGCGCCTCTTGGATTTTTGCACTGCAATATCCTCATTGTACCAAGGAGCTGCTGGTCGTTGGATGACGGTTTTAGTCAATAGTGGCGCATGATCATCAAGGATTGAAGATAAAACCTTGTCATATTGGTCACAAAGTTCCGAAAGAACAGGCTGAGGCGATAGGTATAGTGACGAGTTGATTATGTCATTGCGCAGCTTTTCTGTGTTAATTGATCGAATTTTCCTGCATGTTATACAATTTTCTTAATTTTAGTAGGTTCAGCCAAATTCAAGTTACAATGTAAAACAAAGTGATCTGAAATGACAGGATCATTGACAGATAAATTGCAGACAGTCTCTTCATCTGATCTTGTGATAATGAGGTCCAAAGTGTTACTATTTTTATGTGTTGGCGTGCTAATGTGCTGTATAAGATTGAACGAGTCAAGTAAGTCCAGAAACTTAAGAGCAGTTGCATCAGACGTATCGTTAACATGGCTATTAAAGTCCCCGGTTATGAGCAATTTACCAGAAGAAAATACCAGTAACTCCAGGAGAGATGAAAATTCATCAAAGAACAAGTTAACTGTAAAAGCATTAGTTGATGATGGGGGAGGGCGGTAGATTAAATAAATCTGTAAGCATCTTAAGAGGTTATGAGATTAATTTGTTAAATAAAGGAGAGAGGACGAAGAAAAACGGGGAAAAATTCATATAATATATAAATTTAATACGGCGAGAATGACAAATTATACATGTATAGTTTAATTATATATATTAAGTATCAAACATGCGTAAAAAATACCATTCGGTTCATTTTATACGGAAAGAATGAGGGTTTTAAGTTCGCATTTTTCTGGTCCACCATACGACCACTTCTCACAGTCTTAACTATTATAATATCGTTTTTCCAATTTCTACTCGTGTTGATATAACTGTATATCAACACGGAAAATGTTTTCTATTTATTAAATATCATCTATTACCAATGACGCAAAGGTAGAAAGCTGTGACGCCGGTCAAGAGCTAATTTTCAACAAAACTCGCCGACAAAATATTGCCAAAATAAACGCCTCCATCGTGCTCAATCGTCGTGGCCATACGTATTTATGTTTATTCAATCTTTCCAACTTGTAAAATGCCTTCCCTCGCTTTTCCATGAACAATAAAACCAATTTAAAATCTTTTCTACGAGCTCCTGAGTCGACTTGTCCTGACACCAACTGTCGCAAATTAGAAGTTTTGAAATTCGTAACCGCAACTCTCGTAAAAATATTTCTCCTCAACCCTCCTAATCATAAATTCTGTTTTCAACGGTTATTTTAAATATAACTTGGCGTAAGTTAGTCACTAATGACAACGCGCCAGCTCACGCTGTTTAGGCCAGATAGTTGGTGATCATCCTTTACTTTTGCCAAAAGTCGGGCGGTCGGTCGGGTTTTTTTAATTTTAATATAACGATTTGCGTCAAATAAACATGCACATGACAAGGTACTTTATTTCATATTGTCTATTGATATATTCAAAATATAAAACAGTAACAACTTTTCAAGTTTATGCAAAGGAGTGGTGATATGCCAATATCTCATTATATAATCTGCGTCATGCTATTCATAGAAGGCGACTTTGCGCCGTATAGCGACAATATAACCACAAATGTACATGTAACAATTTGTTATGTAATTTGTAGCAAGTGACGTAATTGGAGACCAATTAGTCAAGTTAATATTTTGATAAATTTATCTAAATTGAATATTCAGTGTAAATTGGCCGACTTTTAACCAATCACAAAGCGCAATTTAAAAATAAATATTAAAGCCTGGCACATGACTTTGAAACAACAGACGTTTCTTTGTATACATGCATCACAACATCCTCATGCACAGCATTTAATCTTTTTGATTATTTAAATCTGTCTTCAGTTAGTAGATGCTAATTTAAACTTCATTTGATGTACAATTTGATGAACAAAAGTTAAAGGTACATGCATAAAAATGCATCAGTATCCATGAGTTGATAAAACACTGGACGGCATAACCATAGAGATTATAAATAACACTAAAGGAGGCATTGTAATCTTAATTCACTCAAAAAAAGGGAACGCGGCTATTGGGGGGGGGGGGGGAGTTTTAAGTCCCGGATGGGTTTTCGTGTTTCCATTGGTGACGAGTTTCAAATCAGCCAATCAGAGCACGATTTTATATCCGGGACTTGAATTTCCCCCCATTAGCTGCGTTCCCAATTTTTAACCTCGATGCCTCCTCTAGTATTATTTATACTCTCTATGGGCATAACAGCGGCGGAAATACCGTTTCATGCGGTCTTCCAAATATGGAAATATGTGCCAAATACGGAATGCAAGCCGAGGTGAATCGGCGAATCTTGAGCCGGGCTAATCCGAACTCAGCAGTATGTTTAAATTTTCTACGCACAGATTAGGATGCTCCCCGAGCTCGCTCTCCCTGGTCGCAATGAACAGACAAAAAACGAATAAACAGACTGTTCCTTCATTATTTTTAACTAATGCTTGTCACATTCTGAATAAAATGGATGAGCTCAGCTCAGTTGCGGAAATTAATGATCCTGACCTTATATGTATTTCTGAGACCTGGCTAGATCCCAGCATATACGATGGAGTTATATCTATTGGACCTAACTATACTCCGTACCGAAAAGATAGAGGAACACTTGGCGGCGGTTTAATTACTTATGTTAAAACTGCAATACCTTCTAGCCGCTTGTTTGACATGGAAGAGGAAGGCAAAGAGGCTCTGTGGCTATTGTTGAAACCACAAAGACTTCCAAGGC